GTAATGATACCCTAAAACTCAAACTCCTGCTAGGCCCTGAGTTTACGAAATGTTGCTCTTCAAAATTGGTCTAAAAAACAGGAAGTGTTGCTGCTAGGCTGTGGTACTGTGCATTCTGTGCTCCAGGGGATCGATCAGCCATACTTGCTTGGTTGTGTATAGATGTTGAGAATCGTGACAATAACTTCTGGGTTGGAGATCAACCTAAATGGATGAAATTTATCGTGAATCGCCATTCCGCCTCCTCGGCAGTCTGCTCTTCAACTAATTTCTGTTTTAAAATTGAGAGAACAATCGTACGGTGCAAACCTTAATAACCATGAAAATTTATAACATACTCGTATTAGAATTTGAGATTTGGTTCTCACCCTCTATAATTTGCTCTTTCTTTTCTGCATGTCTTGTTTCATTTTTGAGAATTAAAAGAAATTATCGTGAAGTTGTGGTCTTTGTTTTGGGATTACTATGAAGATCATATTTACTTGCATGATGATGATGATGATGATCATATCTAGATTTGATTTTGATCATAGGTAGTACTGCAATCCCTACTTTGGTAATGGCCTTCTGAGTTAATGGTGATTCTAATCTGATTTCTGGTAAGCTTCTTAATTTACTTGTCTTTTTGAATTGGGTAATTAAGAATTTAGTTTTTTTAACAGGAAAACAGGCCAATCTTTACTCAATTTGGATAGACGTCTTCGAGTTGTACTTTTCCGAAGCACATAAAACAAAATACTTCAATTTTCTAAGTTTGGAACTTTTCGTTTTAAATTTGTCACAGTTTTTAATGCGAGATGGAAAAAAACTTGACATTCGAATGGGTAGTACGTAAGATGATTTGTTTAGATGCTAGTTTAGGAAATGAAAAGAAAGATAAGGGAGAGTGAATAAAAGTGGCAAGAAAGTGTGATTTCTAGATTTTTAAATACATTAAATTTTAAATGAATATGAATAAATAATATGGTATATGTCTATGTTTATTTGAATTTTAATGTATCTAACTAGTACTTCCTCCGTCCTGTTTTAATCGTCTGTTTTGTTTGGTTGGAAGAGAGGGGAGGGAAAAGAATGGATGAGGGAATGAGAAGGGAAGGGAAAGATTTCTTTCACCTTGTTTGGTTTGGAGGGGAAAAAATGTTTTATTTTTAATTTTTTATTTGTAGTTTTCATTTTTAAACTTTTTTTGTTATCTATTTAAAAAAAAAATATCTGTGTTTTTGATTTTATTCTTTCATTTTACTCACTCCGTCTCATATTTTTCTTCTCACTTTCTTTTTTGGACCGTCCCACTTAATTCTTCCCATTTCCTTATTTGGAAATAAAAAACACTTACAATGACCTATATACCCCTCTTTATTTCCATTTGCACTTACGGAGTATTTTATGACATCACCAAACCTACTCTAACCCCCATCTCACTTTCATAACTCCATCCCACTTTCATTATCTACTCTAACACTCTATCTCCTTCTCATCCACCCACATTGCTTTCAATTTTCACATCTACGGAGTAAATTTTTGTCTCTTTCATTTCACTGCCATCACTTGCTGTGAATTTGTGATGGAGTCGCTCTCACACTCTCCATCTTCCTCACTATCATCACTCTCACACACTTTCGATCTTCTTTTTTCGCTCTCATTCGTAATCCTAGATCTAGGTGTTTTCACAGATTTAGAGGATTTGTACCTTCTCTCTTAAATTTCAAACACTCCTAACCATAATCTCTTTGAAATTGGAGGCGATGATAGGGATAAAGCCATGCAGCCTCCTTCCACTACGAGTGACAGGGGGTGGGGTTGCTGTGATTGAGCAGATTCCTCCCTTGCGGAAGCAAGGTTGGACCCCTCGAAGGCGGAAATATGGTTTTTCTTTAGGGAACTCTCTTAACGCTAAGTAATCCTTGTCTAATCTTTTTGCTTATATGTTGTGTAATTCATGTATGTGTGCCTCATTCGATGTTCTGTCCTTTACACATTTTGAGGAATCCTGAACTTGCTGTGATGTGAACCTCCCCCTGACCCTAATGTATGTTGTAATTGATGTGAATGTCATGCTTATCCTAATTGGCTTCACTGAGCTTGTTGTGATGTTTTATTACACTTGAGAAATCCTGAACTTACTGTGATGTGAACCTCCTCCTGTATTCATAGTGTCAAATGCATTCATAGTGCACAATGGGTAAGTCTAAACTGCAATGATGATTGGGTAGAATTTAAGTACACTTCAATGATATACAGAGTAATTACAAGGTGAGTATTCTGTAATTTTTGCTGACTAACCCATCTACCTCAAAAACCCAAAAACACAAAAATAGTTGAGCAAAATTTAAAAAAGACCAGAACACATTTTTTAAGTTCACTCTTAAAGATCGAAGTCATCTTCATCTTAAAGAATGAACGCTGCCAAATTATCTTCCTCCACTTCCACAACATGTGTAGCTTGGGTGGTATGCTTACCCAGTAGTTCAAGTGTCTGTTGCAGTACACCCTCCTCTAGGTGTAGCATTAGGAAGAGTTCCCTCTCTTGTGAGTCTATCCTTGGCCATATGAGGGACTTCATAATTGTTGCTTCCACCCACCTTTAATAGCTCTTGCATGCAATGTTGGTAGCTCAGCCACACTTTATTTAAAGTGTGTGCTGATAAATTTGCATACATGTCTTCAACTGATGAGTTCTGCCACACTAGTAAGAGCTAATTGCTCTTTTAGAGATTGAATTGCCCCAAAAAATCTCAAGTCTAGGATGTTCAAATCAACGGAATTAGGGGGATTTGTTAGAGTAATATTGAACCCATTCGAAGTAGCTGTTGCCACAAAGTCACAGTCATTGCTCGGAATATGTGGTCTTGCATTATCTTGTTGGATGATTCCCAAGCATTGCTGACCACTTTTCTTGGATGGTGGGTATGACTTTATGGATTAACATGTCTTTAAAGACGTTTTTGGTAAGACTATGAATTGGTTAATCTCTAGCACCCCTGCGGCCCTATTTTTGCTCTTTCTCTTGGCAAACATCGTTTCTGTAAATGGAAAGATTCTCAATTTCCCATCCCATACTACCTTCCTTTCTTGGGAAAGAATGAGTCTTGCTACAACCCCCAAGAACATCACTTTAGTTATAAACCTCTTAGATTTACAAGTTCAATAAGGATCCTCCTCCTCAAACCCTAAATAAATTCTTTGGGTTTCCTTAGCTTCAATTATGTCCTGGCTTCTAACGAAAGGGTCAACTTCTTCAGTCAGGGGACCTATTACTTTAATGATCTGCTTCAGTTTATAGCTGCTAATGGACTTACGGATGCACCTTCTGATGGGTTGTTCTTTACTTGGCACAAAGGCAATAAACTGGCCAGGCTTGATCGGGTCTTATTGAACCATTCTCGGGGAGATATTGGCCTTGATTGTAAAGCCAATTTTCTGGAGATGCAGCCTCAATCTGACCACTGCCTAGTACTCCTTGTTCCTTGTACCACACGTACCTGCAAATTAAGCCATTTAAATTCTTTAATATGTGGACGAAGCATGAAAGGTTCCAACAGATTGTTTCTCGAGTTTGGAATCAAAGAGTTTCTGGTACTAAACAGTTTGTTCTCACTTCCAAGCTTCTCTATCTCAAACACCCTCTCAAAGAACTCAATAGGGCTAAGTTTGGGCATATCTCCAATAGGGTTTCCTTGGCCAAGGAGGAGTACAAAGCTTTAGTAAAAAGGCTTATGGATGACCCAAATAACCAGGATTTGGTTCGTTTGGTCAATGAACGAAGAAGGCAGACCAATTTCCTTTTGGAGGTAGAGATGGACTTCTATAAGCAGAAGGTTAAATGTGATTTCCTCACTAAAGGGGATAGATGCACGAAGTATTTTTACTCGGTGGTGAAGAAGAAGAGGGGTGCCAACGCCATTCCTTACCTGGTACGTGCTGATGGTTCTAAAACCACCTCTCAAACCGAGGTTGCTGATTCCTTCGTTGAGTTTTTCACCGGGCTGATTGGCATGGACAGTGATGTTGAACCCATTCTCCCTGACATCCTGGCCTCTGGTCCCTTGGTTCCAGCCAGTTCCTGGGACAATCTTTTGGCACCTGTCACCCCAGCCGAGGTCAAGGATACCTTGTTTAATGGCAGGTGCGTGTGGACCTGGAGTCCTAAGAAAAGAGACTCTTGCCTTTTCAAAAAACTGGCGGAGATTAGAAGTTTGCTTCTCACAAAGCTTGGTGAACCCTTGGCTCCAGAAACTGCCCTTCAACCCTTCTGTGTGAACTGTAAGCTTCTATCGGGGAAAATTTATGATTTGTTTAGGGTTCATGCCAACCCGAAGCCGTGGATGGGATTCATATGGCAGCCTTACATTCCACCAAAATGTTCATTCACTCTATGGCTTGCTTTCCGTAGACGACTCCCTACAAAGGTTAATCTTGAATTCCTTGATGAGGGCATTTCAAGAGTATGTTCCCTTTGTTGTGTCGGCTTGGAAACCACAAGCCATCTGTACTTTGAGTGCACTGTCACTGGACAGATTTGGAGATATATTCGTGCTTGGATGGGTGTTGTAGCTCAGCTGACCACTTTGGACAGAGCCCTCCGCTGGTTACGCACATATAGAAAGGGAGACTGTTACAGACCAAACGGAAGAACTCAACCCAAAAGACTAGTCTGATAGGTGAGGGAACCCATTTGGCCTATAAACCCCACATCAATTGCCCATACAACCAATGTGGGATAAGTCCCATACCTTGCAATGGGTTCAGTCCATAACATTCGTCCCTCCTTAAGGACCAACGTCCTCGTTGGTCACGGCTCTCTCCAGGCCACCACTCCGTGGGCCACCACTCCGAGGTTGGCGCTGATACCATTGTTACAGAACAAACGGAAGAACTCAACCCAAAAGACTAGTCTGATAGGTGAGGGAACCCATTTGGCCTATAAACCCCACATCAATTGCCCATACAACCAATGTGGGATAAGTCACATACCTTGCAATGGTTTCAGTCCATAAATGATAGGAGCAGGACGGTATTATGAAAAATGAAAGATAGAAACTGAAGAATGAATTCTCTCCTAACCCTCTCACAATAAGAATCTCACTGAGAAGAGGTAATAGAAGCCAAGGAGTATCTCCAATGCTATGAAATATATTGATAAACTGATATCCTTCCAGGAGGATGGACTAGCATATTTATAATGCTAGAATACAAAGAAATAACCAAATATCCCTACTTTTTAGGCACTAACAGAAAGATAAGACTAACTGACCATGACAGCAAGAGTGGACCTATTATTGTGCTAACAACAACAACAACAACAGCCCAGTTAAATCCCACAAGAGTAGGGTCTGGGGAGGGTGTGTGTACGCAGACCTTACCCCTACTCGAAAGTAGAGAGGCTGTTTCCAAAGAGACCCCCGGCTCAACGTCGAAAGTTGCATTGCTTGACTAACTGCTACTTCATTAATTAAAGAAACGCAGACAGTTTAGAGATCCATTTTGATTTATTCCATCACACCCCAAAGCCAAATTATTGTGCTAACAGATGCCAATTATTGTGCTAACAGAATGGAAACACATTTTAAATTAATCAGACTTAGTCAAAACGTAAGCCCTATTATTGTGCTAATAAAAGAATTAAACTCAGTCAAACTTAAGCCCTCTTTTACGCCTCTGATAAGTCCTGATTGGTTTCGGATTTGTATCAATACTCTCCCCCTGAAAAACCGACTTGTCCTCAAGGCGAAACTCAGGAAACTGTTGCAATAGAAGATCATAATCCTCCCAGCTTGCTTCCTCCACGGGTCTGGACTTCCATTGAATCAGGAGCTCCAGGTGGGCTGCTTTCCAACGGTGTGCTAGCACTTGGGCGGGTTCTAAGAGCATCACAAAGTCATCTGAAAGGGGTAAATCTGCAGGTGGGTCTGTAGCCGAGCATCCATGAGCTGGACGGAGCAGTGAGACGTGGAAGACTGGGTGAATTCTTGCTGATGGAGGGAGTTCAAGTTCGTAAGCAACCAGGCCCACCTTACGCAAGACCTTATATGGACCAAAGAACCTTGGAGAAAGCTTAGTATACTTTCGAGGAGCAAGTGAGTGTTGCTTGAAAGGCTGGATTCGAAGGAAGACATCATCACCCTCCTTGAAGGTGAGTTCACGCCGATTCTGATCTGCATAAGACTTCATTCGATCTTGAGCTTTCTTCAGGTTGTCTCGAAGTAAACGAAGCATGTGATCTCTTGTTTCGAGCTGATCTGCTAGTTTAGCAATGTTTGTTTCCCCCTTAGTAAAGGGATGTAATGGAGGTGGGTCCCTGCCATACACAATTCTGAAGGGTGTTGTGGTGGCAGAAGAATGAAAGCTAGTGTTAATGAGTATTCAGCCCAACACAAGAATTTACTCCAAGTACGTGGCTGTTCATGTGCAAAACAGCGCAGATATGCTTCAAGACAACGGTTAACAACCTCTGTTTGTCCATCTATTTGAGGGTGATAAGGAGTACTCATCCTCAGACGTGTTTGGCTCAACTTAAATAGTTCCTGCCAAAAAGCGCTTAGGAAAAGGGGATCTCGATCTGAGATGATGGAGCGGGGCATACCATGCAACTTGATGACATGTTCACAAAAGCGTGCGGCAACAGTTTTGGCAGAATAAGGATGAGATAGTGCAATAAAATGGCAATATTTACTCAATTTGTCAACCACCACCGCAACAGTGTCAAAATTTCCAGATTTAGGTAAACCCACAATAAAATCAATAGATATATCTTCCCAAATCTGTTCGGGGGCAGGTATAGGTTGTAACAATCCAGCAGGAGAAAGAGCTTCATATTTACTTTTCTGACAAATAAAGCATTGTTGAACCAACCGCTTGACATCCAGCTTCATGCGAGGCCAGTACACAGTGTT